CTGCCCGCCCAAACCCACCCTCTCCCCAAGCTCCCTGGGCTTGGCTGGGACCCCAGGGGCTGAGGGGGGCAGTCATTCATTCCCACTGAATACCTGTCATGAGCCATGCTGGGTGTTGGAGTTTAATATTAAAAGGGCAGATTCAAGAGCTGGACAATTTGGGTTCAAAGTCCTCCTCTGTCTCTTAGTTGCTGTGTGACCTTGAGCAAGTTTCTCTCTTTCTCTGTGCCTCAGATTTTCCATCCTTCAAAGAGTTGGGAGAGTTGAGGGTGGACCATGCGTGCACACATGGGACCGCTCAGTAGGCGTCCGTAACCGTGGTAAAGATGAGGCTGTGGGCTGGCCCCTGGGGTCCCAGCCGAGCCCACTGAGCTTTGGGAGGTGGGGGGGTGGATGGGGAGTGATGGAGGGTGGACTCTCAAACCTGAAGCCCTCAAGGGGAGTAGTCAAGAGGGTACCTGGATGTGAGAACGTGGTACTCGGCCAGCAGAGCAGCGGCGTGGAGGGAAGTGAAGGTCACCTGGAAGGGCTGCTGGGAGGTGACCAACCAACGCAGATGCAGGTGCCCAGGACAGGTGGGCAGGTGAGCATTCAGGAAATGGTTGTCCAGGACCCACCACCCTTCACAAAGCACCTGGCAACACTGTCCTTGAGCCTCCCTATCAGTGGCAGGAACCTGCCTGACCTGGCTGGTGTGGGGAGCCCAGGCAGGGTCGGGGGCACCCCTGGGGGTCAGCTTGCTGGTCTAAACCAAGGCCAAGGTCAGAGGTCTTACAAAAAAGCCCAACCCACACCAGAGCGTAAAAAGTGATAACTTGGGCCAGACACAGTGGCTCACGCCTGTAATCCCAGCACTTTGGAAGGCTGCTTGAACCCAGGAGTTTGAGAACAGCCTGGGTAACATGGTGAGACCCTGTCTCTACAAAAAAACACAAAACTTTGCTGGCTATGGTGGTGCATGCTTGTGGTCCCAGCTACTTGGGGGGCTGAGGTAGGAGGATCGCTTGAGCCCAGGAGGCTGAGACTGTGATTGCACCACTGCACTCCAGCCTGAGCAATAGAGCCAGACCTTGTCTCAAAAAAAAAAAAAAAAAAAAAAAAAAGTGATAATTCTCCTTTCTCCTCTCCTTAGCAGTTTGGTGTGTGTCCTTCAAAACACTGTGACTGTTCAGCACCTTACATTGTACATAATGAGGGGATAAACATGGATATAGATCTATATTCTGTAGCTTGCTTTTTTCACTTACAAGTATATCATCCTTGGCCGGGTGCGGTGGCTCAAGCCTGTAATCCCAGCACTTTGGGAGGCTGAGACAGGCGGATCATGAAGTCAGGAGATCGAGACCATCCTGGCTAACACGGTGAAACCCCATCTCTACTAAAAAATACAAAAAACTAGCCGGGCGAGGTGGCGGGCGCCTGTAGTCCCAGCTACTTGGGAGGCTGAGGCAGGAGAATGGCGTAAACCTGGGAGGCAGAGCTTGCAGTGAGCCGAGATCCGGCCACTGCACTCCAGCCTGGGCGACAGAGCGAGACTCCGTCTCAAAACAAAACAAAACAAAACAAAACAAAAAAACAAGTATATCATCCTTCCATGCCATTATATAAAGCCACCTCATCTTTTCAATGGTCATGGTGTTGCATGGTTTGGAGGTCTCATAATTCACTCACCACCTTCTCTGGGTGGTTATGTAGGAAATTTCCAAACTTTTTGGCTGCCCTGGGCACCCTTGCCCTTGCAGCTTGGGACTGTTGGGGAGTGTTTCCATCAGGGCAGACAGGCAGACAATACTTAGCAGGAATAAATGATCAGTCTTGTGCTTATTGCAAAAGCAGGAGCAACAGATAAGCTGGAAGTAGACCTGGCAGGCAGGCAGAGAGAGGCCCTGGAGGGGTTCGCTGCAAGCTGCCACAGATGACCGTGGGCTCCCTTCACTCACGTGCGGTCCGTTCCAGTGCTGCCCAGCTCATCCCACGGTTGGTCACGCCTTGGTCACAATTCTGAAACACTTAAGAAAGAAACTCATAAACTCATAGATGTCCCCCATACACAAGATACAAATGGCTCCAGTCATCCCGCTTAGGCTCCGCTGACCCCTCCACGTCCCGTTCCTGGTTCTTATGAGTCTGAGGGACTTCTTCTGGGGATGGAAGTGGCTTAAAGGGGGGTGGTACGGATGACTTCTCAGCTAGAACGGTCTCCATCTTTCTTGGGGTGAGTGAAAAGGTGACCCTGCTGGGTCAGGTGGGGTGGGAATGTGGGTGTGATTGGGTTCCAGGTGGCATTTCATCTTCCGCAGACATGGCTGGGCTTGTTTGGTACTTCTCCCTCCATGTCCTCCGCCACCACCCTCCTCCTGTTCCCGTCCTTCAACAAATCAGTCTCAGGCCCTTAAGAGCACCTTTGGCCGGGCGCGGTGGCTCAAGCCTGTAATCCCAGCACTTTGGGAGGCCGAGACAGGCGGATCACAAAGTCAGGAGATCGAGACCATCCTGGCTAACATGGTGAAACCCCGTCTCTACTAAAAAATACAAAAAACTAGCTGGGCGAGGTGGCGGGCGCCTGTAGTCCCAGCTACTTGGGAGGCTGAGGCAGGAGAAGGGCGTGAACCCGGGAGGCGGAGCTTGCAGTGAGCTGAGATCTGGCCACTGCACTCCAGCCTGGGTGACAGTGCGAGACTCCGTCTCGAAAAAAAAAAAAAGAGCACCTTTACTGGTGCTTTCTTTCCCCAGGCATTTTTTTCTCTTTTTTCATTGTTTTTTTTTTTCCCTTTAAACTCAGGGGCAAAAATCCCTAGGACTTTTGATCCAAAGACGGCAATTATCACTAAGTGGTTTATTTCCTTCTGAGACCTAGCCAAGGCTCTCAGAGCCAATGCTGCTGGTACAACTACTCTATCTTAATGAGATAGGTTGGATAAGTGTGGATCCTTCCAGCTGGGTCCTTCTGATCAGTGCAAAGCAGTCTTTTATTTTATAACACATTTCGAGCAATGGCTTGGGAAGTAAACACCATCTGAGACTGGCTGGCCGGAGGCAAAGGGAGATGGCAGGCAGTTGAGCCTGCCTGTGGGTTCTCTCAGCAGTGACTTCCTTTTTCCCTTCCTTCTTCTACCTAGCCCTGTATGTGAGGGGATTAACTGGGTTTTTTTGTTGTTGTTGTTTGTTTTGTGAGATGGTGTCTCCCTCTGTCACCCAGGCTGGAGTGCAATGGCGCAATCTTGGTTTGCTGCAACCTCTACCTCCTGAGTTCAAGCAATTCTCCTGTCTCAGCCTCCCAAGTAGCTGGGATTACAGGCACGTACGACCATGCCCGGCTAATTTTTGTAATTTTAGTAGAGACGGGGTTTCACCACGTTGGCCAGGCTGGTCTCAAACTCCTGACCTCAGGCGATGCACCCGCCTTGGCCTCCTAAAGGCATGAGCCCCCCAAAAGCATGAGCCACTGCGCCTGGCCGAGGTGATTAATTTTTACCTGCACCTCAGGGTTATCCAGTAACAGGCTGGCTGGGTTTGCAGGCCAGCGTGTTCCTGGTGGCAGTCGCTCACTCATTAACACTTCTGGAAGTGTTGCTTGTCTGGTTAAACTGCAAATGCTTTGCAAAGTCATGTCACTGAGCAGAGGTGTGAGACTGCCAGCCAGCCCTGCTGTGTACACTGATGGAATTAGTGAGCAAGCATCCCACTCTGATGGAATCCAAATGGAACTGTCACTGTCACTGCGGTGGAGACGGTGGGGCCACATCTGCACTGAAACCTGCTCTGTGTCTTCAACGGCTGTGTAACGGCAGATGGCCATTTCTTTGAGTGGGATGAGACATTGCCTACTCGGCGTGGCTGCTGGGAGCGTGAAATGGGATCATGTGCAGAACAGCCACGCATGGTCCTTGGTGTTTGATAGACATTGGGTCCCTCTGTGGTCCCAAGCAGACACTGGGGGCGGGGGCAGAATGGATGATCAAGTTGAGGGGCTTGGGGCTGTTTCACCGGTCTAGAAAAAGACAGCAGAAACGTTGGCAGCAGGACTTTATTGTCCAACACAGGGCTGTCTCTGAGCCTTAGCTGTGTTGGCTGGAAGTGAGCCATAATGCAGGTGTCACCCTCCTAAGCCTTGCTCAGTCCACTCACAGCCCGATGGCCAGGGGAGGACATGGCTGCCCACCACGGCAGTGTCTTCAGAGGTAAGGCATTCGTCCCGACGCTCTATGCTTCTTATACAAATTAGATATAGCTGAAGCCACCCATTAAGCAACCCAGCCTTTCTGGGACTATTTGGTTTGCCCCTGGGTCCACTAAACACAGTTAATTTTCCCCAAGCCCCCTCCGAGTTCAAGGATGTGGGGAAAAGAAAGAGATCAGCCTGTTACTGTGTCTATATAGAAGGAAGTAGACATAAGAGACTCCATTTTGTTCTGTATTTGAGATGCTGTTAATCTGTGACCCTACCCCAACCTTGTCCTTGCAAGAGACATGTGCTGTGGTAACTCAAGGTTTAATGGATTTTGGGCGTGCAGGGTGCGTCTTTGTTCCTAGAAAAGCTAGGTATTGTCCAAGGTTTATCCCCATGTGACAGGATGAAACAATGCTGCTAAAAGGATTTTCCTTTAAACTTATTCATGTCACAGAGATCCTTGTTCTTACGTCTTACTGCTGATTTCCTCCCTAAAAAGGATTCTATTGTCCTGCCACTCCCTTATCTTTAAGATGGTAAAGATAATTATCTATAAATACTAAGGGAACTCAGAGGCCGGTGCCGGCGTGGGTCCTCTGTAAGCTGAGCGCCGGTCCCCTGGGCCCCCGCTTTTCTTTCTCTATACTTTGTCTCTGTGTCTTATTTCTTTTCTCAAGTCTCTCGTTCCACCTCGCCCACAGGTGTGGAGGGGCAGGCCACCCCTTCAAAGGAGGCTCCCTCCCCTCCTCCTCCCACTCGCTTCTCCCAGCCTCCCTGACTCCTACACTCTGAGATCTGCTCCCCACTATGGGATGAGGAAGCCGAACGGCATGGTGACGCAGCTGCCCTGCACGCAGCCACACCATGGGCTGGAGATGCCACTGTCCGCTCGGTTTAATGATCAATTAGCTCCCTGCCAGGAAGTCCTTTCTGACCTGGTTTGCCCCTCAGTCCCTCGGGCTTGGACCTAGTGCCTGCGGCAGGACAGCCATGGCCGCCAACTCCACCAGCGACCTCCATGCTCCCGGGACGCAGCTAAGCGTGGCTGACATCATTGTCATCACCGTGTATTTTGCTCTGAATGTGGCCGTGGGCATATGGGTAAGGGGAACTGTGGTGGTGGCGGCCAACTGGGCTCTCAGGGTGGGTGCTTGGGATGGGAACCGGGGTCCAGCATGTCCCTATGGTGTCAGCATTGGTCCCACCTGGTGGCCTGGTGATCCTGTGGTCCTCCTCCCAGCCTGGGGCAGATTTGCTTGGAGACCTTGACCAAGCCCCTTTCTCTAGTTGGGTAATGGCGTCTCCATCTGTAAAGTGAGGAGAAGGAAGGTCTCTGGAACAGGTAACTGGGCTTTTGTGCTGCTGCCCAGTTGGAGTCCTTGGGTGTGGCCATCAGCCTCCTGGTCCCAGTCTCCATGGTGTCAGTGACTCCCATCTGCTTGAACAACAGGCTCCCAGGGATTCCCTGGCTGCACCCAGAGCTGCTGGATCAGAATCCGGAGGAAGGGAGGGCCCTGGGAGCTAGGGGTCTTTATTTTTAACAAGCTCCCTGGGATTCACATCCTGTGGCCTAGCTCTAGATCATAAGCCGGTTCTTTCTCCTTTCGTAAGAGTGAGAAGTGAGCAGTGATCTGACCCCACGCACAGATTCCAGGCGCAGCGGGGCCCTTGGAGACAGGCTGTCTCATGTGCCGATGGAGAAGCCAAGGCTCTGGCCCTGCGGCAAGGGAAGGGCTCCCCTTTGGTCTATCATGGAAGCCTTCCTGAGGGAAGGTGGACCTAGCCTGGTCCAGGTCACCTGCTCCACGCTTAGTGCCTGGAGGTTGGGCTCCACTTCCTTAGTCCCAGAGGTCCCCAGGCTGGCATCCCTGAGCCCTGACAGTCTCCTGGGGAGAATGAGTACTCCTTCTTCTTTTTTTTTTTTTTTTAACTGAGACGGAGTCTAGCACTGTCACCCGGGTAGGAGTACAGTGGTGCTATCTTGGCTCACTGCAACCTCCACCTCCTGGGTTCAAACAATTCTCCCGTCTCAGCCTCCCAAGTAGCTGGGATTACAGGCGTCCACCACCACGCCCAGGTAATTTTTTGTATTTTTAGTAGATACAGGGTTTCACCATGTTGGCCAGGCTGGTCTTGAACTCCTGACCTCAGGATTTGACCACCTTGGCCTCTCAAAGTGCTGGCATTACAGGCGAGAGCCACCGCACCCGGCCGAGTATCCCTTCTTATCTACCATAACCCCTGGCCTAAGCACGAAGGCCTGGCAAACAGGAGACTGGTCACGTCCCCTTAGTTTTTTGGGCCTCAGTGTTCTGATCTGTGACATGGAGACACCACCTACCTGGGGTGAGGTCTGCTATCAAGAGGCCCGCACAGGACCAGACCTTGCTGCTGCCATTGGTTCTACAGTGGTAGTGGTGGTGGTGGTGGTGGTTGTAGCAGTGGTGATTATAATAGTAGCAGCCGCAGTCATTAAAATTAATTATCACAGGTTGGATTTCAAAAATCTAAATCCCAAAATCTGAAACATTTTTAGAACATCAACATGATGCTCAAAGCAAATGCTCATTGGAGCATCTCAGATTTTAGATGTTTGGGTTGGGGATGCTTAACGGGCAGGTATTCTGCAAATATCCCCAAATCTGAAAGAGTCTGAAATTCAAAACTCTTCTGGTTCCAAGTATTTCGGATAAGGGCTCCTCAACCTGTATGTGATTAAATATTAACTTACAAGTAGCCCAGTGCTGGCCATCGGCAAAGCCGAGTTCAAGTCTCGGCTCTGCTCTGTGTACTTACGTCACTTAACCTCTGTGGTCTTCAGTTTCCTCAAACACGCAATGTGGGTTTCTGTGCAGCCCACATCTCAGGGCTGTTCCAAGGAGCAAGGGGCCAATAGAAGTGAAAATCTGTTGCAAACTGTAATGTGCTATATTCCTGTGAGAGTTGGTGGCTAGAATTCAGTGGAAGAGGTGCCCATGTGGGGCAGAACAGTCAGTGGAGGGTTTCTGGATGAGGGGAGGTAAGGGCCAGGTAAGATCTGAGAGGGAAAGAGGAGGGGAGACAAGGCTGTCCTGGCTAGCACAGGTGGGGTATTTCGTCAGAAGTGCACGTCTAAGAAAGATGTTCTGGGCACCTGAGGCCAGGCCCTTTGTAGCGCAGTGACTTGGGTCACCAGCCCTTGTTGCCCATGACCCACCTCTCCTAGCTCAGCCTTGCTGTTTGCAGGTTGGTGCCCCTGGCAGTAGGGCTGTAGGATTTCTGCCCTGTCCCTCCAAGCAGGCCAGGCTGGCCCGGTGGGGAGTGGCTAGCCAGAGAGCAGTGAGCACATCCAGAAAAGATCAGAACCAGACAGGGGGGATGCTGGAGCTGCATCCCACAGGGAGAAGCAGACAGAGCAAGCCAGGCAGGTGCAGCCCTGCAAAGATGTTTAGATGGTGGGCCTGGGAGAGTCTGCGGCGGGAGCCTTTAAGGAAGAAATGTTCCTGGAGGAGGGAACTTTGAGCTGAGCCTTTGCATTCATTAAAATATCTGTTAACAAGTGACAGAAAACTACTTTCAAATGAGCTCGAAGATTATAGGAAATGTAGGGCGGGCGCAGTGGCTCACTCCTGTAATTCCAGCACTTTGGAAGGCTGAGGCGGGCGGATCACGAGGGCAGGAGCTCGAGACCAGCCTGGCCAGCATGATGAAACCCCATCTCTACTAATAATGCAAAAATTAGTCGGGTGCCTGTAATCCCAGCTACTCGGGAAGCTGAGGCAGGAGAATCGCTTGAAACCAGAAGGCAGAGGTTGCAGTGAGCTGAAATCACACCACTGCACTCCAGCGTGAGCAAAAGAGTGAAAGTTTGTCTCAAAAAAAAAAAAAAAAAAAAGAATACAGGAAATGTAATTGCGTCCAGCAACAGAAAGGGCTTCAGGTGCAGTATGATCCAGGTTCACAGCATTATTAAGAATACGGCTACACCTCACTGTGGTTCTTTTAGCCTCCATCCATGTGTAGCTCTGTCCTAAGCCAGCTCCCCTCATTTCCTGATGTGAAATGACCAGCCCAGTGATTGAGCCTGAGTTAAAATCCAGGCTGCGCCACTTGCTAGATGGGTATGTTTTCATCTCTGACACCATCAGGTTCCTCATTGGTAACATGGCACCTACTTCATAAGAGCTGTTGTGAGGACTAAGAACTCCACACAGCTCAAGCAGTTGAAGCCAACTCTGGCATAGGGGGTCCTTGGGGAGCCTTAAATGGGTACATGTGGCCCCCAGCAACTGCCAGCAGCCCCCAGAGCCCTGGATATAAGAAGGCAACTGACAATGCCCACTATAGGCTTGAAAGATGAGAAGTGTCAGGAAAAAGCACTGGCCGTAACCATAGATGCTCTGAAGTTGTGCAGTGCACCCCGTACACATCTGGATATGGCCATCCGGGCCAAGATGGTGAGCCTTCAGACTATGCTGCATGTAGTATGGCAAGATCACAGCACACAAAGAGAAAGTGGTGGGAGCTGGAGCTGGAGCTGGAGCTGGAGAGAAACATTCAGGAGCCACATCAAAAGTTCTGAACTGGGTGTGGTGGTGTCCACGTGGTTCCTGCTACTCAGGAAGCTGAGACGGGGAGACCACATGAGCCCAGGAGTTCAAGACCAGCCTGGGCAACATAATGAGACCCTGTCTTAAAAAAAAAAAAAAATTGGGCCGGCGCGGTGGCTCAAGCCTGTAAAAAAAAATGGAAAGCATAATAATGGGGCGGCCAGTACTAACAGAGAAACAAACCAATGCGCCACTGCACTCCAGCCTGGGCAACAGCGTGAGACTCCGTCTCAAAAAAAAAAAAAAAAAAAAAAAAAAAAAAAAAAAAAAAAAAAAATAGGCCAGGCGCGGTGGCTCATGCCTGTAATCCCAGCACTTTGGGAGATCGAGGCAGGCGGGTCACCTGAGGTTGGGAGTTCGAGACCAGCCTGACCAACATGGAGAAACTCTGTCTCCACTAAAAATACAAAATTAGCTAGGCGTGGTGGCACATGCCTGTAATCCCAGCTATTAGGGAGGCTAAGGCAGGAGAATCACTTGAACCTAGGAGGCAGAGGTTGCAGTGAGCCAAGATCGTGCCATTGCACTCCAGCCTGGGCAACGAGAGCGAAACTCGGTCTCAAAAATAAATACATAAATACATAAATAAATAATAGATAAATAAAACTTTGAATGGTGAGTCCATACAATGAAGCCTAATCATCTTGAGTATAGGGCAGGGCAATTAATGCGGGAAGAAAGAGACCTGCATATTGATGGATATATTTTGTGATCCAGCCTTATGTATGTTCTGAAAAGAAATATAAAATCTATGTCTAAATACCTGTCCTGTGCCCCTCTTTTCAAATTCTTCTGTTTTTTCCTTTTTTCTTTCTTTTTTTTTTTTTCTTTTTTGAGACACAGTCTTGCTCTGCAGCCCAGGCTGGAGGGCAGTGGCGCCATTGCGGCTCACTGCAGCCTTGACTTCCTGGGCTCAAGTGATCCTCCTACCTCAGCCTCTCGAGTAGCTGGGGTTACAAGCATGCACCACCATGTCCAACTAATTTTAAAACTTTTTATAGAGACAGAGTCCCACTATTTTGCCCAGGCTGGTCTTGAATCCCTGGCTTGAGCAACCCTCCTTCGTTGGCCTCCCAAAGTATTGAGATTACAGGCATGAGCCACCATGCCCAGATGATTTAACTTCAATTTCTCCCATCCAAATAGCACTAAGGAGGGGCTTGAAAAATCCATGTACCAGCCAGGCGCAGTGGCTCATGCCTGTAATCCCAGCACTTTGGGAGTCCTAGGCGGGCGGATCACGAAGTCAGAAGATCGAGACCATCCTGGCCAACATGGTGAAACCCTGTCTCTACTAAAAATACAAAAAATTAGCCGGGCGTGGTGGCGGGCGCCTGTGGTCCCAGCTACTCGGGAGGCTGAGGCAGGAGAATGGTGTGAACCCAGGAGGCGGAGCTTGAAGTGAGCCGAGATCACCCCACTGCACTCCAGCCTGGGCGACAGTGCAAGACTCCGTCTCAAAAAAAAAAGAAAAAAGAAAAATCCATGTACTCACTGACCCTTATCGAACACTTACCAGATGCCAGGCACCATTCTCAGCATGCTACATGTATTAACCCACTAAAGCTCATAAAAACCCTCTGAGCGTTGGGAAGCCAACGCAGGTGGATCACATGAGGTCAGGAATTAGAGACCAGCCTGGCCAACATAGCGAAACCCCCTCTCTACCAAAAACACAAAAAATTAGCCAGGTGTGGTGGTGTGCACCTGTAATCCTAGCTACTCTGGAGGCTGAGGCAAGAGAATCGCTCAAACCCCGGAGGTGAACATCGCAGTGAGCTGAGATCCTGTCACTGCATTCCAGCCTGGGTGATGGAGTGAAACTCTGTCAAAAAACAAAACAAAACAAAATTCATGAAGGAAGAACTTCTTAGGACCATGTTACAGAGGAAGAAACCAAGGCACATGCGTTCAGTAACTTGCCCAAGGTAACATGGCCAGGAAGCAGAGAAGACAGGATTTTACTCCCAGACATTCTGATTGCAGATTTTTTTATTCCATCTACATGGAGGACAAAATTCTACACTCCCCCGAAACCAAAGGCATGTGGGAATACGTGGGTAAGGAACTGACTGCTTCTGTTCTTTTTATAAAAGTTGAGATGAAATTTACATAATATACAATTCATCATTTTAACAATTTTAATTTGTTTATTTATTTAGAGACGGAGTCTCACTCTGTCGCCAGGCTGGAGTGCAGTGGTGCAGTCTCGGCTCACTGCAACCTCCACCTCCCGGGTTCAAGCAATTCTCCTGCCTCAGCCTCCCGAGTAGCTGGGACTACAGGCGCCTGCCACCTCGCCCAGCTAATTTTTGTGTTTTTAGTAGAGACAGGGTTTCACCATGTTGGCCAGGATGGTCTCGATCTCAACCTCGTGATCCATCCACCTCGGCCTCCCATAGTGCTGGGATTACAGGCGTGAGACACCGTGCCTGCCCATTTTAACCATTTTAAAGTGTGCAATTCATGGCATTTCGTACATTTGCAATGTTGGGCAACCATTACCTGTAGCTAGCTCCAAAACATTTTCATCACTCCAAATGGATACCCTGTCCCCATAAGCAGTCAAGCACCGTTCTTCCTGCCCCCCAGCCCCTGGCAACCACTCATCTGCTTTCTATCTCTATAAATGTGGCTGTTCTGGACATTTCATATAAATGGAATCATACAATTCGTGGCCTTTTGTGTCTGTCTCTGTTGATGAAGCATCGTGTTGTCAAGGTCCATCCAAGTTGGGCATGCATCAGAGCTTCATTCCCAAGATATCTGTTGTTGTTTTTTGAGATAGGATTTCACTCTGTTGCTCAGGCTGGAGTGCAGTGGCACAGTCACTGCTCACTGCATCATCCACCTCCTGGGCTCAAGTGATTCTCCCACCTCAGCCTCCTAAGTAGCTGGGGCCACAGGCGTGTGCCACCACACCCTGCGTTTTTTTTAGACCTAGGGTCTCACTATGTTGCCCAGTCTGGTCTCAAACTGTTCGGCTCAAGTGATCTACTTGCCTCAGCCTCCCAAAGTGCTGGGATTACAGGCATGAGCTACGGCACCCAGCAGAACTTCATTCCTATTGAAGACTGAATAATATTCCTTTATATAGGATACACCACATTTTGTTTATTTACTCATCAGTCAACAGAAATGTTGGTTGTTTTCACTTTTGGCTATCATGAATAATGCTGCTATGAACGTTCGCGTACAAGTTTTTGAGTGGATGTGTATTTTCAGTTCTCTTGGACATGCACCTAGGAGTGGAACTTCTGGGTCATATGGTGATTCTGTGCGTAACTTTTTGAGGAGCTGCCACGCCGTTTCCGCAGCAGCAGTCCCATTCTACTTCCCACCAGCAGTGCACGGGCTTCCAACTTCTGTCTCGTCTTTCTCTTCTTGCAGTCCTCTTGTCGGGCCAGCAGGAACACGGTGAATGGCTACTTCCTAGCAGGCCGGGACATGACGTGGTGGCCGGTGAGTGCACCCTGACTTCTCACACACCCCATTTTGTCCATGGAGCTGTGTCTGATCTCTAGGTCACCTGGCACTTGCATCTCTGAGCCAGTCCAATTCAGTGGAACAGGCCGGAGGCGGGCAGGAGGTCCCCAAGTGAGGGGCATAGGTCTGAGCTGCTAGAAATTGTGTAAGGGGCAGGGGCTTTGGAGTGTGAAACTTACATCCCACTCCTTAGCTGTGCAGCTAGTCATGGGTAGAACTCACACCCTGGGCTCCTCATCCATGAGGTGAGGCTAGGATGCCGCTTAGGTTTGTGAGGATGAAGGAGAAGCTGTCAGGCCCAGGATGGGGCCGGTGCAGGGAGCCTGCCTCTGATGCGTTTCCCTTTCTCTCCTCCAGATCGGAGCCTCCCTCTTCGCCAGCAGCGAGGGCTCTGGCCTCTTCATTGGACTGGCGGGCTCAGGCGCGGCAGGAGGTCTGGCCGTGGCAGGCTTCGAGTGGAATGTGAGTCCTGGAGGACGGGCAGCCTGTGGGAGAGCCAGGGCACAAGGTGCGGCCACAGCCCTGGAGGGGGGCAGCTCCCAGTGGCTGGTGTCAGCCCATGTCCAGGTGGGCTCTGGGCCAAATCCTGTCTTCAGAATACCAAGGTGCTGGATGGCATGACTGGCAGGGAGCTGTGGGCCTTTCCCCAGACTCAGAGAGGGGAAGAAGCCACCCAGGATCTCATGGCAAGTCAGGAGGGGCGGGGGGAAGCCAGGCCACCAGATGGCTCTGTGTGCTGTGTCTCTGGAGCAGAGCTGTGGGAGCTGCACCTGCAGTCCTCACCTGCCTCTGTCCCCACAGGCCACGTACGTGCTGCTGGCACTGGCGTGGGTGTTCGTGCCCATCTACATCTCCTCAGAGGTGAGTCTACTCATGAGGCCTCCAACCGGGGGGCTGGGCCTTGGTCCAAGTTGATGGTAGTAATGGACAGGACCACCGTGGCCTCACATCAGGACTTGGTGAACTCTTAGGGCTGGGTTTGCTATTAGCCCAACTAACATTTGTATCAACCCACTAAGGTGGGTCCCCTCGGACCTCAGCCTGGGTGCTGTGTTGGCTGGTTTCCATGGCCCTGAGTGCTGCATCTCAGGAACAATGTCCCATCCAGCAGGGCACATAGGCTGCACACCTGGCCCACACACCTGGGTGGCATACCTGGGCTGTACACCTGGGTGGCATGCCTGAATGGCACACCTGGCTGCACCATCCTCGACTCTGCCCACTCCTTCAGCCCTGGCCATGCAGCCACTAAGTCCAGTCAACTCCACTTCCCAGATGTCTCTCAGCCTGTCCCCAGCTCTGCCCCTCGCAGCCACCTCCCTCATCCAGCCTCATCATAGTGCACCTGGATTTGTCAAAACAGCCTCTAAACTTGTCCCTCTGTCTCCAGCCACGGCCCCTCCAATCCATTCCTCGTCTCAGCCCTAAAGAGCCAGTCTTGGGATCTCAGCCTGCCACTCCCCTGCCTGGCACCCTCGGGACGCAGCTGGAGCAGCCTGGGCTTCAAGGCCGGGTGCTGAGGCTGTAAGGGGTCAGTGCCTGGGCCTTGCCCTTGAGAGGCTCACAGCTGCTTTGTGGCGGTGGGAGAGGCAGAGTGACTGAGACAGGCCCTGTCTGGAGCGCTGGGCATCATCTGGGGGATGCTTAGCCCCTACCCATGTGCCTCCCCAGATCGTCACCTTACCTGAGTACATTCAGAAGCGCTATGGAGGCCAGCGGATCCGCATGTACCTGTCTGTCCTGTCCCTGCTACTGTCTGTCTTCACCAAGATATCGGTGAGCTGCCCCCCGCTCCCTGCTGGCATAGCCTGGAAACACCCTCAATCTGTGAGCCCCTCAAGTGGACCTGACGTCTTCTCATTCATCTCTGCCTTGTTTCACAGCTGGGCAGACCCAGAGAGGCCCAGAGAGGGGCAATGACTTACCTGGGGTCACGCAGCGAGTCTGGACAGGTGGTCCAGAGCTCCCTAGTCAGGGACAGAACACAACCTGCTGACTTCTGCTCTGACGCAGGGTGTTAGGATGGTCTGAGGTCAGCACTGGGGCCGACACGGGGGTGAGCCAGGACCTCCCACTAGGGGGCGCCAAAAGCCCACGTGGTCTTGGCCCTGTCTGGTCTGCACTGAGCTGACCTGCCTCTCGCCCCAAGGCTGGTGGGCTCCATCACTGACACCTATCCTTGGGGGCCTGGCCCTGCCCCATTGGCATATTAAGAGGAGGAACACACCTCGAATGTCAGAAGCATAGAGCTCATCTTGTCCAAGCCTCTGACTTTACAGAGAGGGAAACTAAGGCCCAGGGAGGGGAAGATTATCCCAACCCTCCTGGTGACCTTGTGGCAACACCAGGCCTTTCGCTCTCACTCCAAGTCCCTGGGGGCAGCCAGCTTCATCCAGCCCCAGGCTTCTGAAGGGGCTTGAGTCCTGGGGCTGCCTGATTCTGAGGGGGCCGACACTAGCCCCTGAGACCCCCAAGCGTCCCTGTGCCTGGGGCTCCTCCCTTGTAAGGAGGGGCAGCTGACCCTGTCTCCCAGGGTTCCTGTGAGGCCGGTGAGGGCTGCTGTGTCTGTGGGAAGCGCTCTGTGAGGCCCGGCTTTCCCTCAGAGGCGAACGGCCTCCTGGGCCGTCTTCATTCAGCTCTGGGACTAGGAAAGCCCAGAAGAGGCATCGATTTAGTGGAGGGAATGGAGGCGCAGGAGAGGTAGAGGCCTCGCTGGCCAACCAGGAGCTGTGGGCAGGATTACCTGGAAAGAGGACCCTGAAAGGGTCCATCCAGAGCCCCCACTGGGCCTCCATCTGCACTGGCGTTGCTGGGTGACTCTGAGGGGGTTCCCAGAGTGTCTCATCCTTCTTGTGGGCAGGTCTCAGGGGTGGCCAGCAGCAAACCCTGGGCCACAGTCTTCGCCAGATGCCCTTGGTGTACTCTAAGAGGTTTGCTTTCTCTGGGAGCCCTTTAGAGTCCGGAGGGACTTGGCCTTGGCCTGCCCTTAAGGCTGAGTTTAGAGTTTTCCACTCATTCTCCCTTCCTCTCCCACATTTCTTGATCTCCACCCCACCCCATGCCAGCCACCTCCCTGGAAGCCAGAGATACAGAAATAAACAAGACCTGGCCCCGGCCTGCCAGGGGCTCGCACTGCAGTGAGAAATAGATGGATGCATGGGACAGGCATGAAGCTCAGAAGAGGACACAGTGGGGCTTGCTGGGGGTGGCATTTGAGTTGGGCTCTGATGGAAACAGGGATGCCGATGGGGGACAGGAGCAAATGACAAAGAGAGAGGTGAGAAGAGGCAGGATGTGTCTCGGGGTGGTCGGGTCTGGAGCCCTAGACTGTAGGGATCACTAAGTCAGACACCTCTGGGGACCAGATAAAGAACAGTGTGGGGAGAAGCTGGGAGTGAGTAACAGGCAGTAGTGGGGACAAAAGCAAACCAGAGAACATGCCTCAGCATTCACACACGACAGGCCCGTTGCCACATTTGCCTCTTAGCTGCCAGCTTTCAGCGTCTGGCCTGCAGTGAGAGATCAGGTGAGGGAGGTTTAATTGTAAGAGGTTGAAGTATCCAGGGAGCCCAAGTGGAACAGGGGTGGTGTTTTAAGTAGGATAGTGACATGGTCGTGTTTGTACTTTGTGCTCTCTGGAATCTTCCAGAGGGTGGACTGGAGGGGAGAGAGACAAGAGGAGGCCAGGCCTGTGAGGAGGCCCCAGGTAGGTCTGGTGAGGGAGGGAGGCTGAGCCGCGGGCACAGGGTTTCACCCTGCTGGCTTCTCTGCGGTGGAGCTTATACCTCACACTCGGAGGGTCCTGAAAGTGGATGGCTTGGGCGGGACTTCTAGAAAGGCAGAGGGGGCCTGCACGGTGGCTGGCGCCTGTAATCCTAGCACTTTGGGAGGCTGAGGTGGGCGGATTGCCTGAGCTCAGGAGTTAAAGAGTAGCCCGGGCAACACGATGAAACTCCATCTCTACTAAAATGCACAAAATTAGCCACATGTAGTGACGTGCGCCTGTAGTCCCAGCTACTCAGGAGGCTGAGGCAGGAGAACTACTTGAACTGGGGAGGTGGAGGTTACAGTGAGCTGAGTCTCCAAAAAAAAAAAGCAGAAGGAAGAGCTCAGTGAAGTGAGAGGATCTTAGGGACAATCTTGTCCGGCTCTCCGAGTTTACAGATGACACAACTGAGGTCCAGGTCACAGCGAGTCAGGCAGGGACTACTGTTAGAACCCAGGCCTGTGCCTCCCGGCCAAGAGGCCCAACCTCAGCCCTGCTGCCCTGAAGCAGCCAGGACATGGCCCTTCAAACTCCACTTTGTGATGGGAGTGATTCAGTGTACCCAACTATAAAGCAGTGAGCACCCACTCACATCAAGGCTGGGCTTCAGAACCAATGCTGGGGCTGCCTGGATGAAGCAGAGGACGAAGCTTGAGGAACGCTAAGAAGCTTGAGGAACGCTAATTGCTGGGCTTGGCTGCAAGAGGACTGGTACCCTGGCTGTTTGAAGTGCACACGCCCAGGCGGTCCCCAGAGGTCCTGACCTCACTGGGCTGTGCCCCAGGAATGCCTCATGTGTCTGCGCGTCCAGCACCTGTCCCAGCCGCTGCCTGTGTAGACAGAGATCTTAGGGTGCCTGCTGCCATCCCTCAGGCAGGGGCACTGGCCCACAGGAGGACCCGCGATGGCAGGACATGGAGAATCACCACCCTGACCCTCAGACGAAGGGACCCAAATCCAGCTCCATCACTGTGGGGCTCTAGCCAGTCATTTAGCCTCTGGAACCGGGCGCGATGTCCCACGCCACTTGCAGTAAAGGTCCTCCACGGGGTCGCTTTGCGCCCTCACTGACCTCACCCCTCCCTCGCCCTGTTGCCCCCACCCGCTCCAGCCACACTGGCCTCTGCGCTTCCATGGACACACCAGGCATGTTCCTACCTCGAGGCCTTTGCATTTGCTGTGGCCTCTGCCTGGAACCTTCTGCCTGGATATCCACGTGGCTCCCTCATGTCCCTCAAGTTTTTCCATTCCCTCCATCTTCACCCCCGTCCCCGCGGGCCAGCCCCCTACCTCGCTCTACCCCCATGGGCCGGGAATGCCTGCTGGCTGTGTGCTCTGTTGGTTCCCTTGCTCACTGGCACATCCCCAGGGTGGCCCGCATGCCTCGTGGGTCTAGGTGAGAGAATCTGTGCCAGGGGTCAGCTCGTTTTTTCTGCAAAGGGCCAGAGAGGAAATATTTTCAGCTTCACATGGTCTCTGTCCTCACTCCTCAACTCTGCCCCTGGGGCCTGAAAGTGCCTGCAGACGATACTGCAAGGCATGACTGGGCCTGGCCTGCGGGTTCTGGGCTGCCACTCCCTGCCCTATGGAAAGCGCCTACTTACTGTGCACCTACTGTGTGCCAGGCCCTGGGTGAGCCCCCCACAGCCATAGACATCTAGACGGGGTAAGGAAACAGACCAAGGAAATCATAAGAAATGGTAAAAGTGTGTGATAAAAGAAGTAAGCACGGTAGGGGGGTGGGGCAGAAATGGGGAGACAGGATCAGGGATTGGGCTCACTGGAGACAGCGCAGTCTGGGGTGGAAATGCCAGCCTTGCTGCAGCCTCAGGGAAAGAGCTTGGCAAGTCCAGGAGCAGGAAGCTGGTGGGGCTGGGGCTGCGTAGGGATATGGAGGGGTAGCGATGACCAAGAGCAGAGAGGCAGTGGGGACCACTCAGAGCCTCTGGACAGGGCCTCTGCCGGGTGGGGGTGCACCTGACTCCTGGAATGGTAGAAATGCAGAACCTGGCCGGGCACAGTGGCTCACACCTGTAATCCCAGCACTTTGGGAGGCCAAGCTGGGGGATCACCTGAGGTCAGGAGTTCGAGACCAGCCTGGCCAACATGGTGAAACCCTGTTTCTACTAAAAATACAAAAAGTTAGCCAGGCGTGGTGGCACACACCTGTAATCCCAGCTACTAGGGAGGCTGAGGCAGGAGAATCATTTGAACCTGGGAGGCAGAGGTTTTTTTAAAAACAAAAACAAAACAGAAATGCAGAGCCCCAGGTTTTCCTTGCACAAGCCAAGTGCAGGAGGGATCAGTGAGGGGCTGGCAAGGGGACTGGGCCTAGGATGGGGTCAGTAGAGGTTTCGGGGAGTGGGTATGTGGTTTGGAGAGGGAATCCACAGTAGCGGCCTGTGGGTCAGAGGCGGGGAGTGTGGCAAGGGGGAGCCCCGGAGGACGGTGATGGCCTCCATGGAAATGGGCAAGGCTCAGGGGCAGAGGACACCAAAAAGATTTGGGAGAAATCATAGTCAACTCCTACTGCCAGTGCAGGGCTCAGCCCAGCTTCTCTGCTGTCCCATCAAGGATGGGAGATACAAGTTCCATGTGGGGGCCGGGCGCGGTGGCTCAAGCCTGTAATCCCAGCACTTTGGGAGGCCGAGACAGGCGGATCACGAGGTCAGGAGATCAAGGAAAAAAAAAAAAAAAAACAGGAGCTCCAATGACCACCTGGGCTAACACAGTGAAACCCCCATCTCTACTAAAAAATACAAAAAACTAGCCGGGCGATGTGGCGGACGCCTGTAGTCCCAGCTACTCGGGAGGCTGAGGCAGGAGAATGGCGTAACCCGGGAGGCGAGCTTGAGTGAGCTGAGATCCGGCCCACTGCAGCTCCGAAAAAAAAAAAAAAAAAAAAAAAAAAAAAAAAAAAAAAAGCCGAGTGGGGCCTGCCAGCTCGGGCGAGCGGATGCGACCGAGCGGGCGGGAGCGGAGGGCAGGCGAGACTCTGTCTCAAAAAAAAAAAAAAAAGTTCCATGTGGGAAGGTAGCCAAGAGGGGGCAGGGCAGGGGCCCAGGACAGGGCAGCCGGAGCACCAGGGCCGGTCTCCAGCCTTCTTCGGCCTCAGACATGTCCTGGAGTGAACGGTTTCCATCGACTGGGAGATGGAGTGAGGCTCCTTCATGCACATGGGGAGCTTGGGGTTCTCAGATGTGCAGAGCCCACCAGATCAGCCCCATCCTGCACCACATGGCCCACACGTCCTCTCTCAGCCTTGCTCCCTCCTTGTGTACGGGGCTTCCGCCCTTGCAAGCCCCCAGTGATGGCTAGATGGTGCCAGGAGAGGAGCGGCCTTCTGCCAACAGCGTGCGCTCTCTGGGAGGGCCCCTGCCATGAGGTTCCTCCCCAGGACCTTGAAGGCCCCGGGGTCAGCCAGCAGGAAAGGCACGTCCTTGGGGCCACCTCTTAGGACGGTGGGACTTTGACAGAGTCATTTCGCTTCTCCATGCCCAGGTGCTCCCCACGGTGGAGTGGAGGGGATTATCACACCCACCGGGTAGGATGGGGGAGACCTGAAAGACATCAGGGCGGCATGTGGCCCAGAGGCACATTTGTCACTTGTCAAAAGTGGCCAGTCAGCAGGGCATCCTGGGGGACAGCCAGGGCCGTGAAGGACCGGCAGGGTTTCTGGGTACAAGATGAAGGGAGGAGCTGTGGGGGTCCTGCGTGGGGAGGAAGGAACAGGGAGGTGGACAGGACACTTTGTGCAGGGTGAGTGTGGGGCCACATCACAGGAGCAGGCAGGCGCCTCTGAACAGAGCTGGGAGTGGACCAGTAGCTCCAGCCCCATGGGTGGCGGCCTAGAGTGAGGTCCTGGTTTGACCTGTGCCCCAGGAGTGGCCCTTCCTCGGGATGCCGTTCCCGGGTGCAGTCTTGTTGATTTTGTTCTCAGTGTTTTGCCTCCGTGGGCAAGTTCCTCTGCTCTTCGGGCCTTGACCTCCCCATCTGTGCCTTCTAGGAGCTGGAATAGACTCTGGGCTGGGCGCGGTGGCTCACACCTGTAATCTCAGCACTTTGGGAGGCCAAGGTGGGTGGATCACCTGAGGTCAGGAGTTCGAGACCAGCCTGGCCAACATGGCAAAACCCCATCTCTACAAAAATACAAAATTAGGCCGGGCGCGGTGGCTCAAGCCTGTAATCCCAGCACTTTGGGAGGCCGAGACGGGTGGATCACGAGGTCAGGAGATCGAGACCATCCTGGCGAACACCGTGAAACCCCGTCTCTACTAAAAAATACAAAAAACTAGCCGGGCGAGGTGGCGGGCGCCTGTAGTCCCAGCTACTCGGGAGGCTGAGGCAGGAGAATGGCGTAAACCTGGGAGGCGGAGCTTGCAGTGAGCTGAGATCCGGCCACTGCACTCCAGCCCGGGCTACAGAGCGAGACTCCGCCTCAAAAAAAAAAAAAAAAAAAAAAAAAAATTAGCCGGGCGTGATGATGCACACCTGTAGTCCCAGCTACTCAGGAGGCTGAGGCAGGAGAATCGCTTGAATCTGGGAGGCAGAGGTTGCAGTGAGCCGAGATCGCGCCACTGCACTCCAGCCTAGGCGATAGAGCAAGACTCCGTCTCAAAATTTAAAAAGGCTGCAGTTGCTCCTGGGTCACTGGGGAGGGAGGCACAGAGGAGAGTTGGCTATCTCAGATGGTCCCAGGGGCCATCCCGTGCCAAGATGAGGGGGTGGAGGGGCTGCAGGGTGCCGGCAGGTATGGAGGGGCTGGGTGGCTGGCTATGTGTGCTCCACACCCACTTCCCCATGTCACAGATCAGGGGCACTGAGGTTCAGGGGGTAAAGTGGCCTGCTCAAAGCCATGCGGCTGGGACACAGCAGACCAGGGACACAGAGCCAGGGCTGTGTGGCTCTTGGCGTCTGTCAGGCTGAAGCTTGCCCGGGCCCACAGAGAAGAGTGCTCAGGCTGCAGGAAGGGTTGGATAGGGCTAGGTGTTGTCTGACTTCCTCACCCGGGGGCTGCCTGGGAGTTACAGGCAACTGCACACCTACTGGGCCTCTAGCAGCAGCAGCAGCAGCAGCAAACCTTCACTGGATGCCATGTAGGGTCCAGTCTATAGGGGAGACAGCAGTGAAAGGCCCACCACACACCCTTGCTCCTGCCGTTCCTGCACCTGCGGGACTTCTCTTCAGTCTTTGGGGCCTGCCGCCGTGGAAGGAAGGGCAGGAAGGAGGGAGGCAGGCAGGAGGGAGGGTGCATGAACAATAAACTCAAGGAGCAGAGGGGCTGGCATGGCTGTGTTTTGAACGATGAGAAGCAGAGGCTGGGATGTTCCAGGGCAGAGGGAATCTGGTGAGCCGGTGAGCAAAGACCTGGAGGCAGCTAAGTTCTGGGCATGGGATGAAGGGCCATATGTCTGGCGTGGCTAGAGCCAGAGGCCGGGTACACAGACCTGGGTTCTGTCCAGAGGTAGCCAGGGTCCAGCGGGAGTCTGGAGCGGTGACTTTAGGACAGAAGCTTGCAGGCTGCTGTAGTGGGCCTTCTAGAAGCCTCCTGGTCCCTCTTGACCTTCCCTCTCCTGGCAACTCCAATCTCTGATACCTACTAGGGGCTGACTTTGGGGACGTCCTTTCCCTTCCTGGGGCCTCAGTTTCTCCTCTAGTCTGATGGGGCAGCGGCTTGAAGAGTCCGTCCTGCTCTGATATTCAGCACCTCTGCACTTCTCTGCTTGGGCTGGAGGCAGATCAAGCCCCCACCCCCCACCACACCTTCCCCTGAACCACCTGCCCTTCCTACACACACACACACACACACACACACACACAGAGAGAGAGAACCAAAGATAAGGACCAGAAGGGGCCGAGGTTCTACTGAAAGCCCCTGGCCAGTTTCCAAACTGGCTGGTCTCTCTAAGACAGGTTGAGAGGCGCCTGGAGGGAGAGGTACAGGAAGCACAGGCTTTGGAGCCAGATCCCAACCCGCCTGGGCCCTGTGTCCCTGGGACTGGGGGAGGCAGGGATCCCTGCGTGGGGGAGCTCAAAGGGGCCTGGGGCCTGCACTTCCTGAGCCTCGTGCAGATGTGTCCCCACACTAGGAAGCGCAGGTCTCCGGCCTTCTCAGGAAGCTCCTGGCCCCAGAGGCTGTGTGTTGGCTCATCTCGCATCTCCTGAGTCAAAGCAGAGCGGTAGATTTAGGAACTCGGGGTGGAGCAAGATGAAGCCTGTTATCAGCCCATGTCCCAGACAACAGGGTCCTGCCCTCCCTCTCTCTGGGCCCCCACTGCCAGGTGGAGGGTGGGATTCTGGTCTGTGAGGCCCATGCCAGGCTGAGGTTGGCCTCCAGGCTAACACTCCTGCCTTTAGGAGGAGCAGTCCCAGCTTCTGCGAGGGCAGGGGCTGTGTTCAGTCAGTGGGAGACCAGCTTCAGCCTGAGACCCAGCCTCTGAGCCACTCCAGGCTTCAGTTCCAAACCCACCGGGGGGTGGGGGCAGGAAGCAAGGCTGACCCTCTGATTCCTGGCCCGCCCAGCACACACTTTTCCTGAGGCCTACTGGTCTTCACGGACTCCTCACAAACTCCTCATCAAGGTCCCCCTGGGAACCGAGGGGACAGGGCTCCACCTTTTATCCCCTGGGGAAGGGGCCAGATTCAATAACAACGCTGCTTTCAGGAAGGGCATTGGCCACTTTGGACTTTATTAGTAACAGTAATGTCCCCTGACATCCACACAAGCTTGCAGCTTCTCCATGGCCAGTTCTTCCCCCAACCTCACAATGGCCCCCGTGATGCAGGCAGACAGGCGAGTGGGGGTCTCCCTTCCTCATCCACAGGCCACTGAGGCCCAGAGAGGGCCTTGCCTGAGGTCACCTAGGGAGTGGCTTGCTGGAGCCCTGGGTCTAACAGCGACTTCAGCCACCCACACAAGCCTCTCTCCCTCCGCAGCTGGACCTGTATGCGGGGGCTCTGTTTGTGCACATCTGCCTGGGCTGGAACTTCTACCTCTCCACCATCCTCACCCTTGGCATCACGGCCCTGTACACCATCGCAGGTATGGCGCCCACAGCAGGGAGATCCACCCAGGGGACGTGTAAAAGGGGCAGAAGGCCACCTCTCCCTACAGGCCCGAGGGAGAAGCCCAGGAAGTGGCCCCAGCAGGAGCCCCAGAAGTTCCTCCCTGTGTCCTTCCTCCCTGGGGCCAGTGCCCTCCCCAGCAACCTTGCTTCCACTGGCAGGGGGCCTGGCCGCTGTAATCTACACGGATGCCCTGCAGACGCTCATCATGGTGGTGGGGGCTGTCATCCTGACAATCAAAGGTGAGGACAAGGTCTGTGGCCATGGCGGGGCTATCCCCACAGCAAGCCCTGTGGAGTCTGGCACTGCCCGGCACTCTGCAGGACTCATGCTGTTGGGGCTCTGGGTAGCATCGCTGGGGGTGGGTGGGTTCAGGAGGTTGAGCCACTAGACAGTCAGCCCCACTGCTGGCCCCTCAGTGACTGCCCTGGCTGGTAGAGGCTGCCCACCCTACTGCCCCGCTGTTACCAGCTCTGGCCCTGGCAAGGAGCTGACTCAGGAACTCAGGACCAGCCACACCCACATTGGCTCAGCGCTAGATGGTGAGGTGGGGCTGTAGGCGGGTGTGAAGGCACACAACCAGGAGACCACAAAACTGCCTGGGCGGCTCCTCCAATTGTTTAAAAGCATGTACAAAATCCCAAGAGGTGATGCCACCTCCTGCAGGACAAAGGCCAAGGAGGAAAGAAGAGAGCTTGGAGATATTGGCAATACTAGTCTGGAACAGACAGGAAGCTCACAGGGCTGCCCGGAGAGAGACAGAGCTCACCGTCCCTGGAAGTATGTAAGCAGAGCCAGGAGGACCCCGCAGAGTGAACACATGTCTAAAGACTCTTCCAGACTCAGACACTGGGACTCTGTGGTTGAGCAGTTTCTAACCCTTGAATGGCACTTGTTCATTTGCTCTGAGCCTCACACGAACCCTTGGTCTGAATACAGAGCCTGGCCTGAGCTCCATGGAAACGGTGATGCTGGGGGACCAGCATCCAGGCAGCAGGCTGCCTCTTCCATGTCCCACTTGGAAAAGGCTAGGGAGTGGGGCCTGGGGTGGAAACTAGTTTCCTACATCCCGGCTTCTTCCTCTCAGACCAGGGGCTCTAGTGTCCCTAGGACCCACCTCATGAGAGGGATCCCAGCAGCCAGGCCCAGTCTGGAAGGGAGGGGAGTGACAGACACAGACGGGCCAGGGCTTGGCCATGCCAGGCCCTGACCCCGAGGTAGACAGGAAGAGTGAGGCGTTCCGGACTGGAGAGGAAAAAGGCCCGGCTTGAGGCCGCCAGATGGGCTGTGTGGTCTTGATGGAGGCCCCCTCCCTCTCTGGACCTCTGTCTCCCTCTTCTCTGTGCCTCAGGGGGTTGGGGCCACGTCACCACCAGCCACTCTCAGCTCTGCTAAAATCACACCCTTCAGGTGATCAGGATGAACACTTTAGAAGCCTCAGGAAGGTCCTCAAATGTCAAGAAAAATTACTGTTGCTTCCTTGAATCGACAATCAGAAACCTGGCTGAGAACCTCTTGCCCAAGGCTGATGGGTGTCCAGAGGCCAACAGTGACTCCTGCCGGGCCAGCAGGACACTGGGGTGCCCATGTGCAAAATGCTCACTTAATAGTATTATTTTAAATACAAATAAAATAGTCATTCAAATACACCTTTAAAAAAAAACAAAAAACCCCTCTACCCTCACACCTTTCCAAACACTGGGAAAGATGAGGTGGAAAAAAACCCTAGTTTGGTGCATCAGGAAGTTTCCTGTGAGATGAAGGTAGGGGGAGCCCGGGGAGTCAGGGCCCCCAACCACCAAATTGTCCCTGTCCCACCCTGACCCCTCCAGCTTTCGACCAGATCGGCGGTTACGGGCAGCTGGAGGCAGCCTATGCCCGGGCCATTCCCTCCAGGACCATTGCCAACACCACCTGCCACCTGCCGCGTGCAGACGCCATGCACATGTTTCGAGACCCCCACACAGGGGACCTGCCGTGGACCGGGATGACCTTTGGCCTGACCATCATGGCCACCTGGTACTGGTGCACCGACCAGGTGAGTGCCAACGTCTCCCGCCCATCCCACCTTCCTGCCGTCCCAGCGGGCTCCGGTAGGCCCAGGTGGCCCGTCTGCCCTCCGCATCATGAGTCCGGGCTGGGGCCTCCGAAGGTGTGGCTCCAGGCTGGGACAGGCTGCTAGGGGTCTTTGCGGTCCCGGGGGGCTTGAGCCCTCCGTTTAGAATCAGATGAGGCCCACTGGCTACCACCCGTCCTGGCCTTTAGGTGCTTCGACTGAGACAGTTTGGAGTATGGGATTCCGAAGGGACTCGAATGCTCCTCGGTGGCCTTGCCATCGGCCAAGGGGCGGGCATTTCGGGCCAGTCTTGGGCTGCCAGGATCCGGCAGCAGGCGGGGTACCTGGCCTCCCTTGGCCTGCCAGCGGTGGGGGCCGGCCACGGCTGGGCCCGCGTTTCTGGTAGAGCTCTGGACACCATCAACAGCAGAGCGGTACCTAGGGGGTCCTGGGAAGCCGTCTTTATCCCTAGTCCCTGAGGCAGGGGCCCTGTGATGATGAAACTGCTGGGCCTGGAAGAGAGAGAGCAGAGAGTGAGGCTGAGCGAGAAGGGCCAACCCCGCCCCAGCACAGGACCCTGCTCAGGCACACAGGAGCCAGCAGGCCCGGGTTCACCTCCTGGCTCTGCCATTCACCAGCTAGTGGGCCTAGGCCAGTTGGTTTAATCACTCGATGCCTCAGTTCCCCTGTCTGTAATAGGAATAATCCTGCCCTTTGTGGGTGTAGCAAGGCAGCTTCCTCCCAGCTCACCCCCACCAGCCTCCTCTATTTCGACACAAGCCTGGACGTGGTTGGAAATGGGCTGAATGGGGTTGTCGAAAGCAATGCAGGAGTTTGTGTTGAGTGCAGGGGGTAACTCTGGCCCTGCCCCCAAGACCCTGTCACCAGCCCTCCAGGTGACCTCAGATGAACTGCTTCCCGTCTCTGGACAGAAGCACATGGTGCCCTTGCTTTGCTTGTCCCAAAGGCCGTGGGCAGCTCCAGGGAGCATGTGTGTGGGAAAAGGTCTGGGAAGCAGTGGCCACAGGCCCCACGACTGTCCATGCCTCTGGACCCAGCCCCAGGGGTCCACCATAGGATAAGGCAGCCTCTGTGGAATGAACGATAACAGCGCTCACACAAGCCTTTCCCATGGGGCCTCCCCTGGGAGTAGGCCTCGCCAGCTCCATTCATAGGACAGAGCACTGAGGCCAAAGACAGAGACGGATCTGAACCCAGAGTGGAGTGACTTTTCCGTGGTTCCCAGCTCTGCTCTTCCTCTCCCAAGCAGCACAGGCTCCATCAGAATCTGCCCAGAGACCCTCCCTGGGTTCCAACAGTAAGAACGGACCCCAGCTGGGAGCTATCAGAAGCTCTGGAAGGCTGGGCCTCAGTTTCCCCATCTGTAACACGTGGTCCTCAAGCAGGGCCCCTTGTACTCCGGCATGCTGTGCTCACAAGCTGCTCACATCCTCCATGCCTCATGGGAGGGCTCTCCAGGGAACGTGTGGGCTTACAGCAGGCATCTGCCCAGTTCTCCTGGGAGGGCTGAGGGCCAGCCCCAGTGGGCCAGGGGTTGGTGAAAGGTTGGCCGTGGAGGGCACAGTAGGCATGTGGTACCCTGCCAGGCTGAGCCCCTTTACAACTGCCACATCCCACCTCCTCCCAACGCAGCATGGGCCTGGCATGGCACGGGCGTCTCTGGGTGGAACATCAGTCAGGAGATTTTCCCATCAAAGCCAAATGAATCTGCACACGTCCTGGCCTTGGGGTCAGGGTTGGGCGGGCCCCACTACACAGATAAAGAGCCCGAGACCCAGAGAGGATCACACAGGGAGGTGGAGGAGGGACACTGCTGACCCCAGGTGGTTCAGGGCACCAACCAGCATCGGGCTGTAGCCTGGCCTCTGCCCTATCTCCCTATCCTCCTCCCCTCGGGCTGTATCTGCCTGCTGGATGCGGGGCCTCGGTCCAGAAGCCCAGGCACTAGTCCTGCTTGAGGTTCCTGGTCTCTGCGTGGCTCTCACTGACACTGGGGACTTTTAGGGGCACCTAGGGGTCTGACTCCACTTTGCTGTGGGGCCAGGGTAGCCCTCGAAGACACCCACGGTCTAGTCAGAAGGGAGGCAGCAGTTCTGTGTGCTGAGACCATGGGACGTTTTGCTTTTTTTTTTTTGAGATGGAGTCTTGCTCTGTTGCCCAGGCTGGAGTACAGTGGCGCCATCTCGGTTCACTGCAAGCTCCACCTCCTGGGTTCAAGCAATTCTCCTGCCTCAGCCTCCCGAGTAGCTGGGATTACAGGCGCGCACCACCATGCCCAGCTAATTTTTGTATTTTTAATAGAGACGGGGTTTTACCATGTTGGCAAGGCTGGTCTCGATCTCCTGACCTCGTGATTCACCCGCCTCAGCCTCCCAAAATGCTGGAATTACAGGCGTGAGCCACTGCGCCCAGCCAATTTTTGTATTTTTAGTAGAAACAGGGTTTCACCATGTTGGCCAGGCTGGTCTCGAACTCCTGACCTCAAGTAATCCACCCACCTTGGCCTCCCAAAGTGCTGGGATACAGGGGTGAGCCGTTCACTATCTTCTGGCTCATCCATGACAAATGGGTGGCATTTTTCTAACCAGAAACAAAACCAGTAACGAAGAGGCAGAGGGTCCAGTGGACAGAGCCCTGGTCTGGGCTCCCATCTGGGCTCTGCCCCTGCCCCTCCCTGGGCCTTGGTGTCCCTGTCTGTGAAACAGGGCGGTGCACAGACCAGAAGGCCTCCCAGGGTCCTGCCAGCTCTGTCACCTGCTGATGCTGCAGCTCCAGGCTGGGTGCCCTCCCTTAGTCAGCAGCAGCCGCCTCAGTCATAACAGCAGCCACAGCTTTCGTGGGCAGCGTGCTGACTCCAATGGCCACACCCCAAAACTTACTCACTGAGAAAGGGAACTCACATTCAGCGGAGGCCCTTGAGGAGCCAGGGACAGGCTTGGCTGGCTACACTAGCAGCCTCACTTAAGTCGTTGCAACAACTCTCCTCATTTTGCAGACGAGGAGTCCAAGGTGAAATGGCCACTCAGGGAGTGAGAGCTTCCTCAGGGAAGGGGGTCTGGCTGGGACTGGACACGAGTGCTGGGAGGTGGGGGTGAGCAGTGGCCTGCTGACATCTGAGTAGGGGGGCCAGCCTTGCTATCTGACAGTCAGGGGTGGGGAAAGCCCCTGCCCTATTCAGGGGGACTGGCAGGCCTCACAGCTCATGGGAACTCTGAGCCTCAGCTTCTCCACCTGGAGTGACAGCACCTGTCCCTGGGCCAGCTGCCATAAGTACAGATGGAAATATAGAGGCAAATATCCCATCAATGGCAGAACGACATGCAGGGTCTTAGGGAAATGCTTCTCTCCCAAGCACCTAGACAGAACCACCATCTAACTCTCTCATTGTCCAGATGGGACAGCTGAGGCCCAGTCTGAGGCAAGGACTTCTCCCAAGTCACAGAAAGCTGGCAGAGAAGCAGGAAGGACAGCAGCTTGCCCTGCGTTTGGAGGCTGCAGCCCACAGACACTCCTAGCCTCTGTAATTAATGTTTCTGTGACATCCACAGCTTAGGGGTAGATGCTGGGAGCTATCCGTTAAACTAGCAAGCTTGGAAAGTAAGTTAAAATCATGGAGGCTTCCTGCTGCTGAGTTGCAGGTGGTGACTTAAACTGTGGAACTGCAAAGGAAAAATACTTACGTTTCAGAGTCATAGGTCGTACAGCTTTGTGAACATACTAAAAACCATGGGAGTGTACACTGTGACTGGGGGAATTATATGGTCTGTGAATACCTCAATAAAGCTGTTTAAAAAGTAACTCTTTTGAAGTAGAATCATAATATCAGTGCTGGGAGGGATCTCAGACATTATGGGTCCACATTACTGCTCCCTCCTCCCATTCTGCAAATCTGGAAAGGCCTGGTTAGGATTTGCCGAAGGCGCCCAGAAGGGCCGATGCCCTCAGGTAGCTTCTAGCCTCCCTCTGCTACTGAACTGCAAGCTTTCCAAACCCCAGGTCTTAAAGCGCCTGAACTCTGCCAGCCATGCAAATACAGTTGGTGCCAATGTCTGCTCCTGGCATCATGAACGTGCCAGCTGCTGTCATGAGGGTCCAGGAGATGAGGGTAGGGGTGTGTGTCCCCATACCACCCCACCCAGGGTCTCCTCCAGCCCTGACAATTGCCAGGGGTGGTGGGCTGGGCAGGATCCACAGCTCCCCTATTGGCAGGTCAGGGGACTGAGTCCCTGGGAATGAGTGTACCTCGGCTCTCGCTGCTTGGCCTGCTGAAGCGAGCTCTCCTGGTTGGTTGCTGACAGTATTGGGGCTTTGAGTGTGGCTGTTCTGGGGGGTCGGGGGCTAATGGGACATCATCGTGCCTGATGCCCACTCCCTGAGGCCCACCAAGGACCAATCCTGACACAAGCGTCCCTCAGGCTTGGACTCACTCCGTCTCGCACTCCACCCCCAGGTCATCGTGCAGCGGTCACTGTCAGCCCGGGACCTGAACCATGCCAAGGCGGGCTCCATCCTGGCCAGCTACCTCAAGATGCTCCCCATGGGCCTGATCATCATGCCGGGCATGATTAGCCGCGCACTGTTCCCAGGTAGGACGGGCTCTGGGCACTGAGCCCAGGCTGCAGGGCACCCAGGGTTCTGGGACCTTGTCCTGCAAGTCACCAGGAGGAGAGGCAAAGGATAGATGTGAACTGTTCCCCAACCTGGGGTGTGGGGAAGAGTGGTCCTCAGGGCCACAATCAAAGGGATTAACATGGATGTGGCTTGGTACAAGGTCTGGACAGGTATCACTTACTGCTGCGTGACCTCAAGGCTGTAAACGAATGTCCCTGTGCCCCGCCGTTTCCTCATCTGCAAACTAGGGACTGTGTCACCCACCTGGAAGGTGCCATCAAGATCCTCTAACTACAGGCATTGGAGACGTATGGGTGGGGAAACGTCATTTCCTTAGGTTGCCTTTTCAGGACTCTGGGACCAAGAGTCCCCAGCATTAACGATGGCCTTCCATACGGCCCTGGATGGTTCCCACCCCTGCCTGTTCATCAGTTTCCCCATCTGTAACAAGCGAATTGAAGTCATCAGAGTTAGGGACACCGTAGCCCAGAAGACAGCAGCTCGGGCTCTTGGGTGGCTGGCAGGGAGGGACTCATGACCCCTGGTGTGCAGGGACCCTGACTCACCTGTGCCTCCTTGTCTGGGGAGTGCTGGGCCTGCATCCTCCTCGACACATCTGCTTCTTCTCTCCCCCGACTCTGGGCCCACGGGGAGCCACCCTGGGGTCCAGCAAAGGTCCCTCGGGTTATATGGGGGGCACTCAGCTGCCGGCGCGGTGGTGGGGTTGGCCCGTTGGCCACTTGCTCTGAGTGGCGCCTCCGGAGAGGGACTGAGTGCTCTCTCACCTCATAGTACTCCTCTGACACAGAGGAGGCCACTGAGGGCCGTCGGGGGCCAGGCCCACGGCTGGAGCTGCCTGAGTGGCTGTCCTGGTCACTGAGGGTTATGTAGTCGTCATCATCTTCTTCTTCCGCCCCATCCAGCCCATTGGGGAGCCCCACCCCGAGTCTGTCAGGGTCATCCTGGGTCACAGATAGCTGCCCCTGGAGTGGGGCGTGGCCTGGGCCTGCCATCCTGGGTAGCCTATGGTCTGTCCCATTCTGGGGAGCCTCCTCTTTGGGGAGCTCCAGGGCCCAGCCAGTACCACTGCTGTCCTGGGCTAGTACATCTGCCACAAGGACTGTCCGGGGCTTGGGCACAGGGGGCAGTGGCTCAGGGTCCCCCTGGGGGAGGCCATTCTCAGCTGGGACGCCGTCCTGGGGGGCACTGGGCTCTAGGGGAGGGCAAGGTTCTGGACGGGGCCTGCTGTCCTGGCTCTGCTTCCACAGCTGGTGCTGGGCGCTGGCCTGGGAGGTGTCACGGATCTTGATGCGGTTCATCTGGCTGGGCTGGGGGTTCCAGATGTTGGGGTCGATGATATTGATGTAGCCCAGGATGTCGCTGCCAGGCTCCGGGTCTGGCTCCACCCACGTGGGCAGGTACTCAAACATGTTGGCCCTCTCCAGGTGGAGCAGTCCTGGGTGGATGGGTGGCAGCAGCTCGGGGATGTCCCCTGGATGCTCGGCCAGCGCTGGGCCCTTCAGCCCCAGGGGCTTCTTGGCCTCCTGCTTCTCAGAGGAGATCTTGGCAATCTCATCAACGCTCTTGGCCTTGACCAGCGCGTACTTGGGGTTGACGAGCTTCTTGGCCACAGAGCCCGCAGGCACCAGGGGGACCACAGAGGGCAGCACAATAGGCTCTGGCTCCGGCTCCTTCTCCATAGGGATGCCCTTGAGGCTCACACTGTGTGACATGAGGTACAGCTCCTGGAACTGCCGGTCGAACATCTCCACCACCTGGCCAGACAGCACGGAGATCACATTCCGGTCCGTCCGCGCGGCCGACCACGTGAAGCTGCAACAGAGGGAGGGGGCGCCGGTCAGGCACACGACCCTGCTTCTCCCAGCAGCCCCTGTGTACCCGCAGCTGCTGAGCCTCAGACTGTGGCCACAGGGCCCTGGGATCGAGAAGTGAATGGGGGCAGAGAGCAGGTGCATGCTGTGGGGTCAGACTGAGTCTGGGATGTCAAGCAAGTTGGTCGCACCAAGCCTGTTCCCACCTCTGCAAATGGTACGGCACTGTGCTTCTCTCAGGCTGGTACAGGATTCACTAAGCAGCTCAGGAAAACCCTGGACACCGTGGGGGGTGCTGCACGTGGTGGCCACTGCTGCCATGTGTCTATGCTGCCACCAACCCCCATGTAACCATGGGCAGTGCCCACCCCATGCCGCATGTGGTGGTGCCCACAGAGCTGGCCCCATCCCTGAGGACAGCTCTCAGAGTGACCCCCATACACTGTGGAGGCACAGCCTGGCCACACCCCACCTCCAGGCCGGTGACATCTCCAAGCTGGAACAACAGTGTCCTCAGACAAAGCCCTTCTCTGCCTGCCTCCAGAGACAGACAAGCAGGCAGGTGTGCTCCAGCCCTGTGCACACCTCAGCAGCCTTGGGATCAATGAACTGGAATAACCAGGGTGTCGTAAGTTAGCATTAAGGACAGAAGCCAGTTGGGAACCAGACTGGCTCCCACAACTTCCCTGAAAGCTGGAGAGTCACCTGTAGGAGCCGCACACTGCCCGGTCTCCATCCACAAACATGAACTTCTGGGCCAGGGCACCCTTGAACTTGGTTGCCGACCGCGTGAAGAACTCGGTTCCCCCGCTGCTCCGCACTCTGAGATTCTGTGTTGGGAACCAAGAGACAGAATTACACGACTGCAGCCCTGACCACACAGGGCGAGGGGAGGACGGCAGCTGCCCAGGGCTCAAAGGGGACTTTGGGGTAGTCAGGAGGGGAAGGAAGAGGCTATAAGGACTGGAGGAAGGAGCTGGTGTGTCTGGGACTGCAGCCAGGGTAAGGAGGGAGTTGCTGAGCCGTGAAGCTGCAAAGGGGGCAGGCACTGGTACAAAACGGGTGGGATTAGATGGTCTGAGCTTTGGCCCCAAAGGTGTCTGAAGAGCAGCATCAGGCAGGAAAAGGCTTGCACAGCCAGCCGGTTTGGGAAATGCTGCCATGGGTGGTGGATGCTATGGTGGGGTCCTGAGCGGGAGGGTGATGTGCACATGTTTTAGAAGTGTCTCGTGGATGGCTAGGGGGTGATGCAGCCAGAGGAGGGCAGGAAGGGGGCCTGCCCTTCGGAATCTGAGCCTTACACTCCAATAAGTCTGTGGCCCTCCAGGGTGCGTGGCCCTACCAGGCCCCTCCCCTGTGCTTCTCAACACCCCAGTCTCTGGAGGGCAGGACTCACAGCAAACCTTTCTCCTTCCCCATGGCCAGGACACCACCCAGCACCCAGGCCAGGTCCTGTACATGGTCAGAGATTCAATTCGGTGCCGGCTTACACGGTTTGGCCCAGGAGCAGACCAGGAAGGCCCTCAAGAGACTGTGGCAAAGGGAGATGCGACCCAAGGAGAAGAGGGCTCCTTGGGCATTAGGAGCACAGTGGGTCCCTCAACTGCCTCAGCTCCAAGGCCAGGTTGTCACCAGCCTTTTCCTGGACCCTGGCCACACAAGGGCCCTCTGTCCCAGTGTGGAGTCTCTGGAGCTGCCAAGGGCCTGTGTGTTGCAAGTTCCAGGTGCTGACTTCCCTTCCCCTGGCAGCAGGGCCTGCTGTGAGGGAGGAGCACATGGTAAAGGCTGGTGCTGAGCACGGCAGACCCCAGGAAGGGCAGGGCGAGCCTGGATGGAACCCAGGTGTCGAGGATGGCCAAGGGCATCCCGAAGTAGAATCTCAGGTGTAAAGGGGATCTGGGGCTCATCTGGCCCGTGTCCAGGGCAGTTTTTAAGAAATGCTCCTGGGTGCCCTGAGGGTCTGACTCAGGAGACCTGCGGTCAGGCGGGGAATCTCAGTTTTAACACCAACTCCGGGGATTCCTGACGGGTCTGCCTGCATGCCTCCTGTGATGGGAGTCTTACTCCCTCCCGAGGGGCTCTGTGCCGGCTTCTGGCTCTCGGCTATGACGTGTTCTTAGTCAGGCTGAGCTGTGACTTACTGGTCTGTCCCCTCACCCACTCACTGGCCCCAGCTTATTCACTCCACTCATTCACACAGTCACCAACCCCTGCCGAGGCCCCCAGCTGCAGACAGAGATGCCTGTGATGAGGATCCCCCCTGGGAGGTGAAGGGGAAGCAGGGAGGTAAATGAAAACGAGCTGAATGCCCAGGATTGCAGAGGAGTAGCCCGAAGTGTGAAGGGCTGGCCGGGAGGCTCCCAGGAAAGGACGACATGGGTCACAGGGGGAGGTGGGGAAGCATTCCAGGGAAGGGACTCAAAGGCCAGGCATGAGAGGCCTTTATACAAGAGCACCTCAGGGGAGGAGGGGTGGGTGACGGAGCCTGCAGAGCGAGCAGGGGCGGGCTCCTGGTAAAACACCCTGCACCTTCTTAAGGGCCTGAGCTTGGCCCTGGGGCCAACAGGGAGCCACGGTAGGATTTAGAGCAAAAGCGATGGGGTTGGGTGTGCATCTCAGGAGCAGTTCTGGCATCAGGGAGTGGGTGTGTAAAGCGAATGCTATGGGAGAGGAGCGGAGCCTGAGAGAGCAGAGCCGCCCGCCATGCCATCCAGCCTCCTGCCCCGCCAGTCCTTTCCGTGTCCCAGACCCGTGGGGCTGGGGTGGCCCCAGGCCAGCAACCACAGAGGCGGGCAGGTGTGGGCCGTGGGTGAGTCCCTGTCTGATGCCCACCCGTGGGATAAACGATCACCTTGTCATAGGGCCCAGTGCAGAAGGCAGATCTGCTCTGGGCCGCCCTCGCTGGCTCCCCCCTCCCCCGCCCCGCAGGCTGCAGGTCTGCACACAGCCAGCTCAGCAGGAAGCTGGCCACGGCCCAGGACAATTAGCACTCGTGACTTTGTACCCAACACGGAGCACGCTCGGGGTTGAGAAGTCAGACAAAGATCCTGGAGGTGGTACAAGGCCTTCCCTGTCACTGAGCCCAACCAAGCCCAGCTCCATCGCCTCCTGCGGGCTCCTGGCCCAGCCACAGGCCCCTCCTT